GCTCATCAAATCATGTGCGAATGATAGTTTTGGTCCCTTTGTCTCAGGAGGAATGATTCTTCCTTTATTTTTCTTCAGTTTATTCAATAAGTTGATTAATTTTGAATTGATTGTTTTGTGTTCTAGTTTGTTTGTGTGTGTAATTACCTAAGTGCGGTTACCTAAGTGTAGTTACAGGATGAGAGCTACGCTCGTGGTGTGTGTGTGTGTGTGTGTGTGTGTGTGTGTGTGTGTGTGTGTGTGTATGTGTGTGTGTGTGTGTGTGTGTGTGTGTGTGTGTGTGTGTGTGTGTGTGTGTGTGTGTGTGTGTGTTTGAGATGTATAGAGGGGGGAAGGTCCTCTGGGTAGTGCAGTTATGCCACTGGATAACGTTTTATCCCCTTAAATGCATTAGAGAGACGATTTCTGAACTTGATAGGTTTGGGGAGTAGAGACTGGGGTTGGCATGTGTGTGTGTGTGTGTGTGTGTGTGTGTGTGTGTGTGTGTTTACACGGGTCGAGCGTCAACTCCAAAGCTCGACATTTGGAGCCTATATTCTCTCCAAGTTCTTGTATTAACGAATTTGTTTTGAGTTTGTCTCAACCAATTCCTCGATTAACTCATTCCATTTGTATCTAGAAATGTTGCCTTCGATGAACTAATCCACAAGAGCCATGAAGAGGATTCGAACCTGTTTGTTGCTTTCCATATTTATTTTTTCATCTCTGGCACATTTCTGGATCAATTTATAACATTATTCTGGGAATTCTGACTTTGAACATTGCTTTTTTGTCCACTTTATCAATCTCCCTTAGAATAGTATATATACAGGTATTCTGTGTATACTATTATACAGAGAGTATACTATTATAGAGAGTATAACACTCTCTATTCCTTCTCTCCTCTAGTATGTTGACCAGACCACACACTAGAAGGTGAAGGGACGACGACGTTTCGGTCCATCCTGGACCATTCCCAAGTCGATTCCTTCTTAAGTCAATCGACTTGAGAATGGTCCAGGACGGACCGAAACGTCGTCGTCCCTTCACCTTCTAGTGTGTGGTCTGGTCAACTTACTTTAGCCACGTTATTGTGACTCATCGTCTCCTATGTCTGAGGTCAAGTTTTATTAAACTTCCCAGGTGCTCAATCTCTTCAGCTCAGGAACTGGCTTTGTTGCATATCTCTTTACTTTTGGCTTGTGCTTTTCATGCCGTGGCTGCATACTTAACCCTTGGTCTCACAGACGTTATATATATATATATATATATATATTGCGTCTTGATGGATGGTTTATCCTAGTTTCTGAAGGCTATCTGAACGTTGGTACAGAAATCACAATTGGGTGATGCATCAAATGAACTAATCCACAAGGGCCGTGACGAGGATTCGAATCTACGTCTTAGATCATCCCAGACGCAGCCTTAATCGACTGATTTGTCGTTGTTGTTGACGTAATCATTCTAATCCTTAGAGTTAGACAGCTGCTACGGGCTGCTTCCTGGGGGTGTGTGCGTGTGTTAGAGAGAATTTGTTAGAAAGTCAGAATGAATGTGTTAGAGAGTCAAATCTAACACCCTTCTGGTGTTAGATTTCAACGCTTGAAACAATCTATCGTTTCACTGTGAACACTGCTCCTGTGTCTGCTGGTCCTGTGACAACTGTTCCTGTGTCTGCTGCTTCTCTGACCACTGCTCCTGTGTCTGCTGGTCCTGTGACAACTGTTCCTGTGTCTGCTGCTCCTGTAACCACTGCTCCTGTGTCTGCTGGTCCTGAGACAACTGTTCCTGTGTCTGCTGCTCCTCTGACCACTGCTCCTGTGTCTGCTTGTCCTGAGACAACTGTTCCTGTGTCTGCTGCTCCTCTGACCACTGCTCCTGTGTCTGCTGGTCCTGAGACAACTGTTCCTGTGTCTGCTGCTCCTCTGACCACTGCTCCTGTGTCTGCTGGTCCTGTGACAACTGTTCCTGTGTCTGCTGCTCCTCTGACCACTGCTCCTGTGTCTGCTGGTCCTGTGACAACTGTTCCTGTGTCTGCTGCTCCTCTGACCACTGCTCCTGTGTCTGCTGGTCCTGAGACAACTGTTCCTGTGTCTACTGCTCCTCTGACCACTGCTCCTGTGTCTGCTGGTCCTGAGACAACTGTTCCTGTGTCTGCTGCTCCTCTGACCACTGCTCCTGTGTCTGCTGGTCCTGTGACAACTGTTCCTGTGTCTGCTGCTCCTCTGACCACTGCTCCTGTGTCTGCTGCTCCTCTGACCACTGCTCCTGTGTCTGCTTGTCCTGAGACCACTGCTCCTGTGTCTGCTGCTCCTCTGACCACTGCTCCTGTGTCTGCTGCTCCTCTGACCACTGCTCCTGTGTCTGCTGGTCCTGTGACAACTGTTCCTGTGTCTGCTGCTCCTCTGACCACTGCTCCTGTGTCTGCTGGTCCTGAGACAACTGCTCCTGTGTCTGCTGCTCCTCTGACCACTGCTCCTGTGTCTGCTGCTCCTCTGACCACTGTTCCTGTGTCTGCTGCTCCTCTGACCACTGCTCCTGTGTCTGCTGCTCCTCTGACCACTGCTCCTGTGTCTGCTGGTCCTGAGACAACTGTTCCTGTGTCTGCTGCTCCTCTGACCACTGCTCCTGTGTCTGCTGGTCCTGAGACAACTGTTCCTGTGTCTGCTGCTCCTCTGACCACTGCTCCTGTGTCTGTTGCTCCTCTGACCACTGTTCCTGTGTCTGCTGCTCCTCTGACCACTGCTCCTGTGTCTGCTGGGGGTAGTTATTTACCCTTGTTGCATAGTGTTTTTGTTCTCCACCTTCCTCTCCTGTTCCCCCTCTCTCCCCCATCTCTCTGCCTCAACTCAGGCATTGTTATATCTTTCTGTGTTTCTCTATGCATGATATTTTTCAGGTAAATGCTTTCACAGCCGGCTATGTCTCTATGAACTTCAATGGCCTAAAACTTTTATTTTCTTGCGTTCTGGTATATGATACCTAGATAGTTTGTGTGTATATGTGTATATTTATATGTGTGTGTGTGTGTATATATGTGTGTGTACTCATCTGTTTGTGTTTGCGAGGGTTGAGCTTTGGGTCTTTGGTCCCGTCTCTCAATCGTCAATCAACTGGTGTACAGATTACTGAGCCTACTGGGCTCTAATATATCTATATTAGATATGTGTACTCACCTATATGTGCTTGCAGGATCGAGCATTGACTCTTGGATCCCGCCTTTCTAGCTATCGGTTGTTTACAGCAATGACTCCTGTCCCATTTCCCTATCATACCTAGTTTTAAAAGTATGAATAGTATTTGCTTCCACAACCTGTTCCCCAAGTGCATTCCATTTTTCTACTACTCTCACGCTAAAAGAAAACTTCCTAACATCTCTGTGACTCATCTGAGTTTCCAGTTTCCACCCATGTCCCCTCGTTCTGTTATTATTACGTGTGAACATTTCATCTATTTCCACTTTGTCAATTCCCCTGAGTATTTTATATGTCCCTATCATATCTCCTCTCTCCCTTCTTTTCTCTAGTGTCGTAAGGTTCAGTTCCTTCAGCCGCTCTTCATATCCCATCCCTCGTAGCTCTGGGACAAGCCTCGTCGCAAACCTCTGAACCTTCTCCAGTTTCTTTATGTGTTTCTTCAGGTGGGGGCTCCATGATGGCGCGGCATACTCTAAGACGGGTCTCACGTAGGCAGTGTAAAGCGCCCTAAAAGCTTCCTCATTTAGGTTTCTGAATGAAGTTCTAATTTTCGCCAGTGTAGAGTACGCTGCTGTCGTTATCCTATTTATATGTGCCTCAGGAGTTAGATTAGGTGTCACATCCACTCCCAGGTCTCTTTCTCGAATCGTTACAGGTAGGCCGTTCCCCTTCATTGTGTACTGTCCCTTTGGTCTCCTGTCACCTGATCCCATTTCCATAACTTTACATTTACTGGTGTTAAACTTCAGTAGCCATTTCCCTGACCATCTCTGCAGCCTGTTTAAGTCCTCTTGGAGGATCCTACAATCCTCGTCTGTCACAACTCTTCTCATTAATTTTGAATTAATTTCTCAATTAATTCATGTGTGTGTGTGTGTGTGTGTGTGTGTGTGTGTGTGTGTGTGTGTGTGTGTGTGTGTGTGTGGTGTAGGCTAGGATACTTACATGAGTAGGTGGAACCTTCTTTCCTTTTGTTTAATAATATGTGGACAGTTCTTTCTATAGACAGTTAGGAGATAAACTATTAATACTTCAGTTGAAAAGCAATGTTAGGTTAAACTGGCCAGCAATTGCATGGGAAAGGAAGCCACTGACTAGCACCTCACACACACACACACACACACACACACACACACACACACACACACACACACACACACACACACACACACACACACACACACACACACTGTGATGGAGCCAGACTCCATACACAGTTTCAAATGTAACTAGCAGAAATAGCATTAGCCCCTAGTATCAATGCTAGCAGCAGCAGCAGCAGCATCAGTAATAACAGCATCAGTAGCAGTAACATTGGCAGCATTAAGCACTGTAGGAGCAGCAAAAATAGCACTGATGAAACAGTAGTAATATCAGTAGTTATAGCAGCAGTGACTAACATCTACAAGCATAACTACAGCAGTGACAGAGAAACCACTGTAGCATTGACAGCAGCATCATTACAGTGACAGTATCAGGAACAGTAACGGTAGCAGGCTTATAGACAGGAGCAAAGTAGCAATATCATTTGTAGCAAGAGTATTAAAATGATCAGAAGCAGCGACAGAGATTGGAGAAGTAGGAGGCAAAGGAACAGAGGAAAGAGAGAGATAGAGAGAACCTATTGAGAAAACAGGAGCAGGGTACTGTAGTAGTAACGGCAAAAGTAGCAGTAACAGTAGCAGTGAGAAGAAAAATATAATTAAAATCAGCAGCCTATGAAAACAGTGAAATTGTAAGTCACTAGAATGATATCCGTAACAATATTATAAGTAACCCCAGGAGCATAAGTAACCCCCAGGAACAGTAGCATAAGTAACTCACCCCCTTCATCGTGAGCTGGCCTGATCGGTCCCCAATAGAGAAGTTCCTGAGTTCTGCAGGGGACAGGTAGTAAAGGATGTTCTGATTGGCCGAGGGTGGGAGATCAGGATCCAGAGCTGTTACCTGAGTGGGTAGATGGGCAAGATGAGTTTGTATGGGTAGTTATCGTTGGGTAGTTATTGTAAGGTTGTTAGACGAGAACTACTCATTGAAATTGCTGTGTGGAGTTCAGGTCGTAATTCAACTTTACTTACATTTCCACGTTAACTTTACTGTCACGTCTAAGTCAACTTTACTCTTATTCCCTTTATTTTTCATTCCATTTTGCCCATTCTCCTATTTTCATCCGTTCCTATTCTTTCATTCATTGTCTCCTCTTCAATACTTCAGTGAACCATTTGTAATTTTCATTCATCCAAATTTTATCTATTTATCTTTTTGTTTACCTTCCTATTCCACCTTTCCTGTCTATCTACCTTCATATTTTTCCTTTCCCGTTTGTTTACCCATTCTATTCCACCTCTCCTGTCTATTTACTTTCATAATTTTCATTTCCCCTTCCTCTAGTGTCTCTGTTTACCCTCATGTTTCACCTTTTCCTGTCTATTTACCGCCATATTTTCCCCTTTCCCTCTTTACCCTCACACATCCCTTTCCTTTTCCTCTCCCCCTCTCACCTTGCCGAGCACGACGGAACAGTCAGTGTTCTCTGTGACGGTGAAGGTGTAATTGGCTTGTTCGAACACCGGCTGAAGGTCGTTGACGTTGGCCACGGCGATTATAATGTCTGCTTCCGCTGGGGCGTTGTTCCCGTCGCTCACCCGAACACGCATAGTGAACTGTCCGAACAGATGGGTAGGGAGTGAGAGAGGGGGGATGGTGTTAGTGTCCGGACAGATGGGGGTAGGGGGTGTGAGGGGGGATGGTGCTAGTGTCCGGACAGATGGGGGTAGGGGGTGTGAGGGGGATGGTGCTAGTGTCCGGACAGATGGGGTAGGGGGTGAGAAAGAGGGGGATGGTGCTAGTGTCCGGACAGATGGGTAGGGGGTGAGAGAGGCGGGGATGGTGCTAGTGTCCGGACAGATGGGGTAGAGGGTGAGAGAGGGGGGGATGGTGCTAGTGTCCGGACAGATGGGCAGGGGGTGAGAGAGGGGGGGATGGTGTTAGTGTCCGGACAGATGGGTAGGGGGTGTGAGGGGGGGATGGTGCTAGTGTCCGGACAGATGGGGTAGGGGGTGAGAGAGGGGGGGATGGTGCTAGTGTCCGGACAGATGGGCAGGAAGTGAAAGGGGGATGGTGCTAGTGTCCGGACAGATGGGTAGGGGGTGTGAGGGGGGATGGTGCTAGTGTCCGGACAGATGGGGTAGGGGGTGAGAGGGGGGGGATGGTGCTAGTGTCCGGACAGATGGGGTAGGGGGTGAGAGGGGGGGATGGTGCTAGTGTCCGGACAGATGGGGTAGGGGGTGAGAGAGGGGGGGGGATGGTGCTAGTGTCCGGACAGATGGGCAGGGGGTGAGAGAGGGGGGGGATGGTGTTAGTGTCCGGACAGATGGGTAGGGGGTGTGAGGGGGGATGGTGCTAGTGTCCGGACAGATGGGGTAGGGGGTGAGAGGGGGGGGATGGTGCTAGTGTCCGGACAGATGGGGTAGGGGGTGTGAGGGATAGATGAAATGAAATGCGAGAGAAAGAGAATAGAGAAATATAAAAAGAGACAACAAAAGTTAAGTTACAGCCCCGCTCCTGTGCCAGGTAAGTCCACTACGGGCTCACCATAGCCCGTGCTACTTGCAACTTTTTGTTCCTAGTAGCTGAATCTTAAACAACATGTAAAATGAGACATAATAGGAAGAAAAGAGAGAGAGAGAGAGAAAGAGTGAGTGAGAGTGAGAGAGAGAGAGAGAGAGAAAGTGAGTGAGAGAGAGAGAGAGAGTGAGTGAGTGAGTGAGAGAGAGAGAGAGAGAAAGAGTGAGTGAGAGTGAGAGAGAGAGAAAGTGAGTGAGAGAGAGAGAGATGAAAGCAGGAAGTGTTGGCGTAAGATCAACTTATTGATTAAATCTGGCTGACAACTCACCACTGAAGTTCAGGGAGGTGGACCCCCTTAGGGATCAGCTTAGTGAGTGACGTATCTTTCAGACATTTAAAATAGATAAGCTAAACTTCTCTGGCCTGGAGTCATTATTGCATTACCACATCAGCCGAACCATTACAAGGCCGGAAAAGTTGGTTATCCGGACAGAAACACCCGGAAGACCTTATCAAAAAGAGTGACAAGGAAAATATGTTGCATATATCAAAGGTCGGCCTTAGGGCGCATTCTCTCCTTGAATGATATCAACAGATATCAACAATGGATGTTGACCAGACCACACACTAGAAGGAGAAGGGACGACGACGTTTCGGTCCGTCCTGGACCATTCTCAAGTCGACACCCTAGAAGGTGAAGGGACGACGACGTTTCGGTCCGTCCTGGACCATTCTCAAGTCGACACCCTAGAAGGAGAAGGGACGACGACGTTTCGGTCCGTCCTGGACCATTCTCAAGTCGCTTGAGAACATCAACTATCTTGAGGTTATCTTGAAATGATTTCAGGGCTTTTTAGTGTCCCGGCGGCCCGGTCCTCGACCAGGCCTCCACCCCCAGGAAGCAGCCCGTGACAGCTGACTAACACCCAGGTACCTATTTTACTGCTGGGTAACAGGGGCAATGGATTAAGATGTCCGATGCAGCGATGCTTCAAGACACTTAAAGCTGAGTCTAACACGCTAATCAATGGAACTTATATATGTAAAAATGAAAATTACTTTAAAAGACGAATAAAACATATTGAAAAACAAATCAAGACAATGTTTACAAAGTTGTAAATCATTTGAAACACTTTTTTTAATCACGAATTTATTCGATAATCAAAAGCGAGAAAATGGCGACTTTTTGATAATTGACATTTACAATTATCAAAGAATTTGGTTATCTTATTTCAGTAAAATTAAAATATGCATTGTTTTTGCGATCAAATAAAATACGATGCCAAACTTTATATATTTTTTGTTTACATATGGAATAGTTTATCACCCAAAATTATGTAAATATCATGTAAAAATTATGTAAATAATATTATGTACAAGATGTACATATATCAGTTCCGGTGATTGGACATCTAATTATCCAAATTGATTCACTTGGATTCGATGATTTGCTGCTAATTGTTTCCCCCTTGAATATCACAATCACCTTGAGTTGGTGATGGTGGGTGATAGTGTGGATAATCACCATATAGTAATTATTATTTTAATTCATCATCATCCTCACCTGGATCAGTGTTATCCACAATCTCTTCATTATAATCATCAGAATTATTATTTTAATCATCCTTATCTTCGTTTTTATTGCAATTATATTTCTTATCATTATCAATAGCATTGTAATCCTCCCCCCAGCAAAGTCACTATGATTACAACATCGTCACCATCATTGTAACATCGTCACCATCATTGTAACATCGTCACCATCTATTTAACAGGTTAAAATATGTTAATAACATTTACAGAAATGTTTGGAATGTTAATATAATATTTTCTTGTTTTTCTTGATAAGTAATCTTGGCGGAGATTAATGTTTTATTGGTGTGTTTGTTGCTTTTGTTGTGTTTGTCTGCTGTTGTTGCTTATTTGTGGTGCTTTTGTTTGCTGTTCGCTTTCAACTTCTTTAAAAGTTTTCGTTTTTTTGTTTATTTTTTTATTTTTTTGCTCTGATATGTATTATTGTGTTTGTTCATGTTTCATGTTCATTGTGTGTGTTTGTATGCACACACACACGCGCGTGCATACAACAGCTTGGAGGCCTCGCGGCTGAGTGGATAGCGGTTGGTGGTCGGAGTTCTATGGTTTCGGGTTCGATTCCAGATCGAGGTAGAAACAAATAGGTTGAGTTTCTTTTCATTCTGGTGCATCTGTTTACCTAGCAGTGCCTGTGAGTTAGACAGCTGCTATGGGCTGCTTCCTGTGTGTGTGTGTGTGTGTGTGTGTGTGTGTGTGTGTGTGTGTGTGTGTGTGTGTGTGTGTGTGTGAGAGAGAGAGATAAATATACGTAGTAGACATAATAGAGGAAAAATAGATTGGTTAGAAAGGCGGGGTCCAAGAGCTAATAGCTCGATTCTGCAGGCTATTGACAAATAGTTTAAACACACACACACACACACACACACACACACACACACACACACACACACACACACACACACACACACACACACACACACACACACCAGTTTCAAAGCGTTATACGACAAAGAGTACTGGGAAGACGGGACACCACGAGCGTAGCTCTCATCCTGTAACTACACTTAGGTAATTACACACACACACACACACACACACACACACACACACACACACACACACACACACACACACACACACACACACACACACACACACGCACCCTCCCTCCCTCTACTCACATTTCTGTCAAACACAGGATGATCATAGTCAAGTGCCTTGTTAACTAACACATCTCCTGTAGAGGCATCAATCCGGAACTTCCTTTCCTGATTACCGTCAACGATCTGATAGGTGAAGTGATTCACTGTGGACACAAACAAGCCCCAGTTAGCTCCCTCTCTCAACAAGTTGCTACTGCATGCATACATTATTCTGATTGGTGTGTGAAAGTGCATTATTATTATTAACATCTTTATTGACAAAATTAATTACAATTTTGCCTAATATGAGGATTTTGATAGTCTTATTAAATTGAAGTTAATGCTAGTATTCACTGTCACGCAGGACAGAGGGTCATACGTAAGACAATAGGTCTAAACTGTAGGCTGAAGCACATATATATCGTGCAAAAATCAACTTGTATTTAATCAATCTTTGGTTAGTATTTGATAAATAATTGGTTAGTATATTATTAAAATTTATAATTGGGATTATATTTATGGAAATATGAATTCAGAGTTACTACTGCTAATACTACTTCTGTTTCTACTTCTACTACTACTCCTGTTAGTACAATATCTACTGCTATTTCTTGGAGTAGTTCAGGTAGTAGTTCAGTAGCAATTCTAAGTTCTAAGTAGTTCAGTAGCAATTCTAAGTTCTAAGTAGTTCTTAGCAGTAGTTCAATTACTGCTGTTTCTACTACTGCTATTTCTACTACCACTAATTCTGCAACTACTACCACAAAAAACAACAACACTACAAGACCAACAAGAGCAATAACAACAACAGCCCCCCCCACAACAACCCCCCCCCTCTCTCCCTTTTTCCCTGTGTAGCACAAACAGTTTCGTCGTAAACTCACCGATATCCGGATCATTGATCAAGAGTCGTATCCCCGTCGGCTTTCCTACCTCCCTATTCTCAGGCAGCTGGACTTCATACACCCCCAGGGCGTTGTCTAGGACCGGAGCCACATCGTTGAGGTCCTGTACAGTTATCCAGTAGATAGTCATCCTCTCATGCTCTGCCAAATGCGTTCAGGTGGTCAGTTGAGGTGTGTGTGGGGGGGGGTATATGGCAGAGAAATGGGTCGTTAAAGGGGGTTGTTAAGGGGTAGATTAGGGGGTTTGTTTAAGTGGAGGTTGATAAGGTTCTAGGGATGTGTTTGGGTAAATTATGGATTTGGAAATATATCTTGAATTATTGTTTGAGAGATTTCTCTTGGGACACCTAGTAGCACCTGGTTCCTGACTTAACTACAAGCAAGGGGTCCCAATCGACTGAGCACTGTCGTAGCTCAGTCGATTAAGGCAGTGTCTGGGATGCTCCCGGACGCAGGTTCGAATCCTCGTCACGGCCCTTGTGGATTTGTCCCTGAGTCTTCTAGTAGCACCTGGTCCATGACTTATCTACTAGGACTCGATCCATGACCCACCTGGGACTCCGTCAGTGACTTGTATTGGAATTCGGTACTGTTTTTTCTCCTCTCGGTCCAGAGGCTGAGTGGTCCACAACTCCCCATTGGTCTTGAGGGCAAATTTGGTCTTCACATCCGAGGAAGCTGTGCCGTCGAAGGAGTAGATCAGCTGGTAGGAGAGAGAGAGGGATTATATAGCCCTTGAAAGGGATATTAGACAGACTAAGAGTGATGAGTTATGACTAAGTCTTGAAAGGCTAACTCATTGACCCTTGGGGCTCGAACGCCGACCCTTGTAAGAACCCAAGTCGTTGCGCCACAGTCTGGACTCTTCGAGAGGGACACTAAAGCCCCGAAATCATCTCAAGATAACCTCAAGCTCTCAAGATAACCTCAAGCTCTCAAGGTGGTGTTAATTTATACATAGGTTGAATTTGTTAGTTTTTTTAGGATATTTAATAGTGCTTTAAATAACATTAGCACGAGTTAATTATTTCAACAGGCGCAAAATGTTAACACTGTGTTAAATATTTGATTATAAACTTCACATTAACAGATTCCGCTGATTACTTATATGTTAAAATCCTGATTTAACATATGGAAAGTTCTTTAAAACTTTTACCTTCTGAGAAAAGTTTCTGTTTACTGAAGATGTCAATGATGTATATAATCTTGAATCTATTGTACGTATTTTGTGGGATGAAAATAGATAGACGGTAAACAGGAGGTGGATAGACAATTTAACAACAAGCAAATCATCGAGATAGACAGACAGGCACACAGACGGACAGAAATACAGCTAGAGACACCTAGACAGATACGCACATATTGAGAGAGATAGACAGAATGTCAGAGTGACAAAGCCAACTAGCCAGCCAGCCAGCCAGCCAGCCAGTTACTCAGCCAGACAGACAGACAGACAGCCAGCCAGTCAGACAGACAGACAGACAGACCTGTCTGAATCGTGGAGAGGTGTCCTTATCGAGAGCCTGAATAGTGGTGATAAGAGTGCTGTCTGTGTTCTCCAAGACAGCTCCATCAAAGGGCTGAAGAAGAGGGGCGTTGTCGTTCACATCCAGAATGTCTACCACGACCTGCTTGACCTGGCGGGCGTTCTTGTCGTTCTGGGGAGAGAGAACGAGGAGACGATGAGAGACACTGAGAGATAGGGAGAGGAATGATGACCGAACCAAACAGAAGAAGATGGAGAAACGTCGTTGTTTCTCAGTCGAAGAAAGGTTGTCATTTCTCCAAGAAAGAGAGGGGGAAATAGGAAGGAATGAGGGAGAGAAAGAGAGGGTGGGTGATGGAAGAGAAAGGGGAAGGAAGGAAGAGGGTAGTGATGGAGGCTACTAGGGAATAGGGAACGTAGAATTGTCTTAGGAAAGCCAATTTAGACTGCTTGTGGCTTGTTTGGATAGGTTAGGTTAGGTTAGGATCCTGTTAGGTTAGATTAGTCAGGATAAAACTGGTGAGAACGGTTAGAGTCGGCTAGTTTAATGAGCTAGGGTTCCTTGGATTAATTAGGTTAGTTTAGGCTAGGTTAGGTTAGGTTCATAAGGTTAGGATATGCAAAGGTAGACAGGGTAGATTAATCAGATTAATTAATATTAGATTAGATTAAGTAAACACACACACACACACACACACACACACACACACACACACACACACACACACACACACACACACACACACACACACACACACACACACACAACCCCCCCCTCTCAGAGCCCTAACAATCCCTAATTATCAGTAGAAACTGCTACGACATTATGAACAGGACCTCAACCGCAAATAAGAACAACTAGCGAAGTCTTCACCACTTCGAAGCTTACCTGGCGAAGTCTTTACCCGCCAAAACACACCGAAACTACGACGTTGGTACAACGTTCGAACAGGTTTAACACCTCCTAACCCCTTATACACCACCAATATAGCAAGTTGTAACAACGTTCTAAATACGTCATAAACACGTTAAGCCAAGATGTAACAACTTTATTACAAGTTGTAGCAAGCGGAAAATAGAGACAGTTTCGGTTTGTGTTTCCAGGGTACCAGCTCGAAGCTTACCTGGCGAAGTCTTCACCACTTCGAAGCTTACCTGGCGAAGTCTTCACCACTTCGAAGCTTACCTGGCGAAGTCTTCACCACTTCGAAGCTTACCTGGCGAAGTCTTCACCACTTCGAAGCTTACCTGGCGAAGTCTTCACCACTTCGAAGCTTACGAAGCTTACCTGGCGAAGTCTTCACCACTTCGAAGCT